GAGGGTTACGGGCATTTTGTCAGGGAGTGTGGCATGGTAATATTGTACCTCTAAAATATGGTAAACGGTAAAGGTAAAATATGCAAACAGTTTAATCTTCTAGAAACTGTTTTTTCTCAATAAATTAATAACTTAAACAGTGTTTTATATTTCAGAGAACGCGAGCGAGCGCAGCGGCGAGCCAAAGGCGGCGGGGGCGGAACAGCAACGGGAAGAGCGGGAAGAGCGGACTACAGGCCCCAGCAGGCCGGTCTTAGCGAGAGCACCGGCCAGAGCTGAGGCGACGGACGAGACCTCCGAGCCCGGGTGAGCCATGGGACGGGGACGCCGGCAGCACCACGGCAGCGGAAGCAGAGGAGAGGGTGCCAGCGAGGGGCCCCCCATGAGAAGCAAGCAGCGCCTGCGACCCCCGACCGCCACATGGGGCGGGGCTGGAGAAGGGGAGGCGGCAGCAGGAGCTGGGCGAGTTGATTGAGCCCCAGGGTGAGAGAACACTCCATGGGCCAGGCTCCCCAAAAGATGGGGCCCCAGAGTCCAGCGGCGGCTGCCACGCCAGCAGCTCACCGCTGGAATCTCACCACCCGAGGCCTCCGGCTCTGAGCACAAGGGCTGTCCCACGGCAGCCGAGGACGGCAACGACGCCGACCACCACACCACCCAACGAGCTTCACCCACCACGACCGCCGCCAGCGGGGACAGGTCAGACCCCCCCCCCCCATGAAAGGCCCCCCTCTTACTCATAGAGTCCAGGAACGTCGTGCCCGCCACCCCATACCGACGGAAAGCAAGCCACCCTTCACCCTCCCCCCTCACCGCATGTACCTCAGACCCCCCCTCCTCCCTGGGCTAAATGTGGCCCAGTGTGTATGGGGGGAAGGGGGGATGGTCAGCTGCTGCAGAGGCACGGCTAGACTGGTGGGCAGGCACCATCTGTATCAGGCAAGAGCGGCCACAGCCGACAACGGGGGCCTAAGCACAGCCCGGCACTGCATGGGCACACAGCTCCCCTGGGGAGGGGTCCGAGGGGCCAGGGCACGCGGCACTCGCGTCAGGCAGGCTCTGAGAGGGAACACAAGAGAGGGAGACGCCTATCCGGACAACCAGGCTGCCGGGAACCTACACACCAGAATCCCAGACAAGGGAGATCCCGCATCCACCCCAGGACTCGGGTTGGCCAATCCAAAGGCCAACCGGCCACACCCTCTGCCTCGGAAGCCACACCTCCGTGCGTAACCGCGGCGCCCTGACCCAGGGGGCCCAGAGGGTCCACGCCAAGCCCTGCCACACTTCCCCAGCCCCACTGGGGAAGGGGAAATTTCGACGGTGCCCAGAGCCTGCGTGGGCAGAACACAAGCCTCTCTTCCTCTTCCATTAGCCCTTTGGAGACCTGCTGGAGGGTCCCAGAACACAGAAGGCAACGTCTGTCAGTTGTGGGACCACCGACGTGTGGACTGTGTGGGAGAGCCTCACTTGGCCTGGCGCAGTTTGTGATGCCCCCACAGTACACACCCCAAGACCAAGGTCCACAGCACCACAGCTGGCTGCAGCACGCACACAGGGAGGACAGGAGTGACAGAGTGTCCTCTCCCCCCACAGGAAGCACAGGTCCCGCAGAGCAGGGCGGTTACAAGGGCATGGTGGGCCCAGAACTGTGCCTAACCGGTGCATCCCTCCACTGCACACATGGGGCCAATCCATGTCTGGGGGCATGGCACGCGGACCCTGCCTGGCTGTCTTCACTGGGGGCCCCTCAGAGACCTACGGTTGAATTTTCCTCCTCACTGAGTAGAGCCCCAACAGCCCAAGACCTCTAGAACCCAGCAACAGCCATGCTCGGAGGAGCCTCACCCATGAAGGAATTGGCATAGGAACCCAGGTGTGCAGGACCTGGGACTGAGATCTCCAAGCCTACTCAGATCAGGACTGGGCCTCCTCCACTCAGATCCTTCATTGTCCAGTAGCTGTTACACTCATAACGGTCATGATCTAGAGACTATAAAACAAAGCTCTCACAGAACCTGGCAAGCTACCTAAAGTATCCTGGCCTCAGGGCAAGCTCCCCTTGGTGTAGTAGATATGCCAAAAATAGTAACAGTAATGGGTCTCATTCCCCTGACCCTGAAAGAGCACTGGGAAGGACAAGTAAAGAGAGGCTGCTAAAATCTCTGGGCTAGGACGAGTGGAGCCGTTACTGATGCCTGCTCTAGCAAATTGAAGAACAACAGGATGACAGTGATACAGAATTTCAGAGAACATTATTTAGTTTGTGGTGATTACCAATGGAATGTATATTTTAGAAAAAACAGACCTTTTCTTTTCAGACTGAGTGTGCATTTGTGGTGTTTGTTTTTTGTGGTTAAATTAATTTTTAAAATTGAGATAATGAGCTAGAGCAATATCACAGCAATAGGACATTTGCCTTGAACCCGGCCAACCCGGGTTTGATTCCCAGCATCCCATATGGTCCCCTGAGCACCTGTGCATTGCCAGGTATGACCCAAAAAAGCCAAAAAATAATTGAGATAACATTAGTTTATACAATTATTTGTGTTTTAAGGGTATAATCTCATATCTTATCAAAGTAAATGTTCTAATAGACCAGAACACCAATATCACCCTGTCCACCAGACTCTTCCCTGTTGAATCCAACTTCTTCCTTTAATTTTGGTAACTACCCCTCTACAATTTGAGTTCCCAAATTGATTTTTTTGGTTAACACTTAAATCTGGAGGGATTTCTGCCAAAACCTTCTGGATTCCGAGATTTGCTCCTGAGTCTCTGGGATCATAGCCGTTAAGCAGCTTGATCAGGAGGCAGAGAGGCCGTTCATGGTCGATGACTTGTGGTCTCGCTGGGGTGGGGAGGAAAGGACTGGCTCCACCCCCATCCCGTGAGCCCAAACATGTCTCATCACTGCGGGCCCAAACCTGACTCCAGTGGCCTCTGAGGGATCGCGGCCACCAAGCCACCAAGGGGGAGCAGGCGAAGAGACAGCACCCTTTCCCCCCTGGGGTGGCCCAGCACCGGTAACCTACTGCCGGACGCATTTCTGCCAAAAGCCGCTGGATTTCGAGATTTGTTTCTGAATCTCTTAGATCATGGCTGTTAAGCAGCTTGATCAGGAGGCAGAGAGGCCGTTCGTGGGCGATGACTTGTGGTCTCGCTAAGGTGGGGAGGAAAGGACCAGCTCCACTCCCATCCCGTGAGGCCCTGCGTGTCTCATCACTGTGGGCCCAAACCTGACTCTCCAGTGGCCTCTGGAGTATCACAGCCACTGGGCTGCCAGGGGGAAAAGGCGAAGGCACAAAATCTATTCCCCCCTGGGTTGGCCCAGCACCAGTAACCTACTGCAGGGACTAGACACATTTCTGCCAAAGGCCGCTGGGTTTCGAGATTTGTTTCTGAGTCTCTGGGATCATGGCCATTAAGCAGTTCAATCAGGAACCAGAGAGGCCAATGCCTCCAATTATATAGCTGAACTGGAGGTGGTTTGTGAGTGTGTCTCTCACATACCTAACTTTGGCTGTTCACCTTCTTGGTAAACTTTGCCCCAAGTTTTTGGTGTCTGGCCAAAGGCACACCAGCAATTTTGGGGTATCTGGAAGTCTGAAGGCGCCATCAGTCTGCTGATGCACTCACCTCACAGGTATAGACTGACCTGCTGGCGGCACCATACTCCCAAAACTCATACTATTTTTCAACAATTTTCAAATTATACTTTCATTCGCTTTTATTTTCCTTGTTGGTGAAACAATCAAATTGTACAATAAGTCTATGATAAGTCTATGATAAGTCTATGACTCATCGGATACAGTTGAGCTGATTCTGCTGTTTTGTGGTCATACTTACATTTAGTGATTTAAAATTTAACTAAAATTATGACATTTTAATAAAAATACATTGAAAATAGTACATATCAGGCACATTTGGGGCCACTGACAAAAACAAAAGTAAAACTCTTAAGTCATGATGATATAGAATATGAATTTTAAAAAATCGTAATACTGTTCCTTAAAATTATATCTGTAACAAATAGAAAGTATTCTACAAAACCAGCCAAAGATAAACTGATGGATACTGAGTTAAAGAAGAAATTAATGGATTACCAAAAGAGCTGAAAGTTTAAGTAGAGCTTAACTACTTTAAGCTTTCCATTTAATTTTAATTATTATGAAATAATTGTTTTTGTAGTGAACCTTGCCATATTCAACATATTTTATAATACTCAAGGACAGGGAGGGAAGATTAGTAATTTCTGTGAATTGTGCTATCACTCCAGGTGGGTTGGAGCAATAGCACAGCGGGTAGGGCATTTGCCTTACACGCGGCCTACCCGGGTTCAATTCCTCCATCCCTCTTGAAGAGCCTGGCAGGCTACTGAGAGTATCCTGCCCATATGGCAGAGCCTGGCAAGCTCCCGATGACGTATTCAATATGCCAAAATCAGTATCAAATTTTACAATGGAGACGTTACTGGTGCCTGCTCATGCAAATCGATGAACAACAGGAAGACAGTGCTACAGTGATTACATACACACAGAGGTTTGGTAGATATCTTAAGTATATGTGAATTAAAAACGTATGTATAACTTTTCAGTACACTTCAGTCTTTGCTTTCCCGGCCATCCTCTAAGTTTGCCCCATTTTTCTAAATGACCATATTATTATTACTATTTTCTGTTTTGGTTTAGAATACTTTGAAAATTTCTTTTATCCTACTTAGAAAATTATACCAATTTACATACATAGCTATTTGCATGTGGAAACAAAAATTAGGAAAAAGATGGAAAAGAGTTGTAGGAAATCGATGACTACACACTTAAGTTCTGAGATTATAAAGAAAACAATTGCCGTTTAAACTATTAATTTGAAATTTGATGTGCCTGCTTAATTCTGCAGTGTATATTTGTCTTCACTCTATTCTTTCATTGCTATATTCATATTCCTAAAGTTGCTTATAATAAAGAAAGGTGGGTATTGATTGCAGCAGAAATTTACGATTAATCCTGTTTCTGACGAAATTTTGCCAGAATCCGATTTCTAATCTGTTGACTCTTCACAGAGTACACAATGGGATTCATCAGAGGGGGAAGCAAAAGGAAGAGATCAGCTATTAATATCCTAACAATTGAAGAAACATTTTTACCAAAGCGATGAAGGGCAGCCAAGGTGACTATAGGCACATAGAATATCAGTACAGCACAGATGTGAGAGACACATGTGTTAAAAACTTTGAGGCGACCCTTGTGTGAGGAAATACCTAGAACAATTTTCAGAATCAGAATGTATGACACAAAAATAAAAAATAGGAAAAGTAAAGATAAAGTAGCTACAAACATTCCATATATGACATTAATTCTGTTGTCAGAACAGGCCAACTTCATGACATCCTGGTGGAGGCAGTAGGAATGGGATAAAAGGTTTTTCTTACAGAATTTTAGTCTCTTTAGAATAAAAGGGAATGGAAGGACAAGCAAAATACACAATGCTCCAAATGCAAGTGCAATTTTAATGATTCTGCCAGTGGTCAGGATGGAGGTATATCTAAGCGGGTTGCCAATGGCTATAAAGCGATCCATAGACATGATAACAAGAACTGATGACTCCATTGCTGTGAATTCATGGATGAAAAACTCCTGTGCAATACAGGCATCAGGGGAAATGGAAGTGACATTGAACAAGAAGATTCTCAGCATGGTTGGAAGGGAGGAGATGCACAATCCCAGGTCAGAAAAGGCCAGCATGAAGAGAAAGTAATACATAGGTTCATGCAGAGAAGTCTCTGTTTTTATGAAGTAAAGGATGGTGCAGTTCCCTAGGATGGAAATGAGGTATATGAAGCAAATTGAGATGGAGATCCAAAGGTAAGCATGCTCCATCCCTGGGATCCCAGTGAGGAAGAAAGTTGAGAGTTCTACTTCAGAAGTGTTGAAGACTGACATTATAAGAATATAAGAGAATAAAGATGTAGTTGTCAGATGAATATTCCTGCAATGATATAATAGATTGACTTGAAAGTCTGCATGTTATCTGGTTAGTGTGAGTAGTGGCATTGCAGAACATCTACAAATATTCTTAGGATTAAAACAATATATGATATAATTTAAAGGAGTAGATACAGAAATGAATGATATCTAGTAGACCATCAATAGAAACATAAAAATACACATGTCCCCAAATGAGGTAGAAAAAATTTAAAGGATTTTCTACAAATTATAGAATGAAAAGGAAAATATTTTTAGATTCTTCTTCCTCTAGCAGTGTTTTTCAGCTGTTTTACTCCTAAAGACTAGCAAAAATAGGGAAAAAATCTAAACTTATTTAAGATAAAATTCAAAACAAAATCTAGGACATAATTTCACTTTTTTTTTTTTTTTTGCTTTCTGGGTCACACCCGGCGATGCACAGGAGTTACTCCTGGTTTATGCATTCAGGAATTACTCCTGGTGGTGCTCGGGGGACCATAAGGGATGCTTGGAATTGAACCTAGGTAGGCTGCGTGCAAGGCAAACACCTACCTGCTGTGCTATTGCTCCAGCCCTCTAATTTCACATTTCTAATACAGAAAATTTCAAAAATTTCTAATACAGAAATTTAAAAAACACTATAATTACATTTATGGGTATTTTCTCTCTCCCCTGCAATACATGGTTTAGTCTATGTATTAAGTGTTAGTACCCTTTAAATTTTACATTTGGCATTAAATTTTTCTAGACAGCAGTTAAAACACACTAACTCTATTTATGTAGATATAGAATGAAATAGGGTATTGCATGCTATAATTTCATTTGCAGTTACTGAAGAATAATGAGTTTTTAGCTAAATTTTTTTCTAAAATTGAGTTGGGACAGTGATACATCCATATGAAAATCTATGAAGGCAGAACCTTGTATATCATAATACACAAAAATTTATTCAAAATATATCATAGACAGAGGTTCAAAGGTAAAAACTAAAGGTATTAAAAGGAAAAATGGGTGGTAATTTTTTATGAACTTTGATCTGGATTTAGAACACGTATTATTTTAGCTATAAATACCATTAGTAGTAGGAAAAACATATACAAATAGAACTTTATTACAATTACAACATTGTGATTCAAACATCATTAAGAAAATAGAATGATGGTACATTTGTAAATCATTTAGGAAATTTAAGATCCATGAAGAGATGCTTACCTTAATTCTCATATCCAATAAAATCTCTGACATGCTAGAACAGTCCCTATTCTGATGTTGAGGTCTTTAATCCATTTTGATCTTACTTTTGTACATGGTGTTAGGCAGAGTTCTGAGCCTATTTTTTTGCATGTAGCCGTCCAGTGATGCCAACACAATTTATTAAAGAGGCTTTCCTTACTCCACTTCACATTACTTGCACCTTAAGGTACATTGAAGATAAAGTTGGCAAAACCCTCCATGACATTGAAGCTAATGGTATCTTCAAAGATGCCATGCCACTGGCCGAGCAAGTGAAAACAGAGATAGATAAATGGGACTATCTTAAACTAAGAAGCTTCTGCACCTCCAAAGAAACAGTGACCAAAATACAAAGACAGTCTACAGAATGGGAAAGGATATTCACCGAATACACATCTGACAAGGGGTTGATATCCAGGATATACAAAATACTGGTTAAACTCCACAAGAAGAAAACATCCAACCCCATCCAAAAATGGGGCAATGAAATGAACAGAAACTTTCTCAAAGAAGAAATCCGAATGGCAAAAAAGCACATGAGAAAATGCTCTACATCATTAATCATCAGGGAGATGCAGATCAAAACCACAATGAGATACCATCTCACACCTCAGAGACTAGCCCACATTCAAAAGAACAAAAGCAACCGATGCTGGCGTGGATGTGGCGAGAAAGGGACACTCCTTCACTGTTGGCGGGAATGTCCACTGGTTCAGCCCTTCTGGAAAACAGTATGGACGATTCTCAAAAAATTAGAAATTGAGCTCCCATTTGACCCAGCAATACCACTCCTGGGAATATATCCCAGAGAGGCAAAAATGTATAGTCGAAGTGACATCTGCACTTGTTTGTTCATTGCAGCACTCTTTACAATAGCCAGAAACTGGAAGAAACCTGAGTGCCCAAGAACAGATGACTGGTTAAAGAAACTTTGGTACATCTACACAATGGAGTACTATGTAGCTCTTAGAAAAGATGAAGTCATGAAATTTACATACAAGTGGTACAATATGGAAAGTATCATGCTAAGCGAAATGAGTCAGAAAGAGAGGGATAGACATAGAAAGATTGCATTCATCTGGGGGATATAAAGTAACAAAGTATGAGATTAATACCCAAGAATAGCTGAGATCAGCACCAGGAGGATTACTCCATAACTTAGAGGCCAGTCGGGTATCCTAGAGGAAAGGGCAGTTCAGATAGAGAAGGGAGCACCAAATAAAGGATGTTTGGAGGATCCTCCCAGGAGGGGAGATGCATGTCGAAAGTAGACTATGGACTGAACATGTTTGCCACTCAATGCCTCTTTTGCAGACCACAACACCCAAAAGGAGAGAGAGAACACAGGGGATTGCCCTGCCACAGAGACAGGGGGGATGGGGGGATGGGGGTGGGAGGGATATTATCCATGGTGGTGGAAAATGGGCACTGGTGGAGGGATGGGTATCTGATCATTGTATAATTGAAACCAAAGCACAAAAAATTGTAAATCTACAACTTTAAAAAAAATAAAATACAATAAAGGGGAAAAAAAAAAAGAACAGTCCCTATTAACACAATGAGCTGTGCCCAGAGTAAAATTCTTGTCTCCTTCTTACTCTGTTCTGCCACTCAGTTCCTAGAACTGGCACAGGCAATCTTCTTGAGATAGACTCTGTCTATTTTATAAGTTTCACTCCCTTCTTGGAATTGACTCAGAATATTTTATATACCGCTTATTACAGTTTTAGAAATATATATGTGTATATATATATATATATATATATATATATATTCTGATGTCACATTTCTCAGAACTGACTAATCTACAGAGAGCAGGAATTTGTACCTAAATTACCTGGCAATTTAGGTGAAAATTCAATACAATTGACAAATTGACAATAAAAGACACCCTAAAAATGATAATAACAAAACCTCTCTTTCTCACCTCACTCTGTGCACTCTCTCACTTTTTTCTCATCCCCCTTCTACAAACACTACAAACAAAGACACACACAGACACACACATACACACACAAAAAATGTTAGTTTTGCTGGTGTGTTATTTCTTTAATTGACTTTAATAAACTTTTCTCTCATTGAAACTGCCTTGATCTTTAATACATTCTTTTACCATCATTCTTTTTGGACCCAGTAGGGCCTGATTTCCTACATCTATTCCCTTTTAAAGTGAGTTATGAAACTGTTCATCTTTTTTTTCTCATTTTAAAACTCTAAAATGGAAATGGCCTGTAGCACTGTTCTCCCATTGTTCATCAATTGGCTCGAGCGGGCCCAGTAACGAATCCATTGTGAGACTTGTTGTTACTGTGTTTGGCATATTGAATACGTCACAGATAGGGTAGCTTGCCAGGCTTTGCCATGCGGGGCAGAAATGTGTCTGGACCCCTCAGTAGGTCACTGTTGCCAAGCCACCCCAGAAGGGAAAGGGTGCTGTCCCTCTTCCTTCTCCCCCTTGGAGGCTCGGTGACCGCCATTCGCCAGAGGCCATTAGACAGTCAGGTTTCAGTCCTCAGTGACAAGACACGCAGGGCCTCATGGGATGGGGGTGGAGCCGGCCCCTTCCTCCCCATCCCAAAGAGACCCCAAGTTGCTGCCCATGAATGGCCTCTCTGGCTCCTGATCAAGCTCTTTAATGGCCATGATCCCAGAGACTCAGAAACGAATCTCGAAACCCAGTGGCTTTTGGCAGAAATGCATCTGGTCCCTGTAGTAGGTTACAGGTGCTGGGCCAACCCAGGTGGGAATAGGTGTCATGCCTTGGCTTGTTCCTCCTGGAGGCCCGGTGGTCGCCATTCTCCAGAGGCCACTGGACAGACTGGGACCGCAGTGATGAAACATGCAGGGCCTCACAGGAAGGGGGTGAAGCTGGCCCTTTCCTCCCCAACCCAAGGAGATCCCGAGTTGCAGCCCACAAATGGCTTCTCTGGCTCCTGATCAAGCTGCTTAACAGCCATGATCCCAGAGACTCAGAAACAAATCTCGAAACCCAGTGGCTTTTGGCAGAAATGTGTCCGGACCTCACAGTAGGTTACTGTCGCCAGACTACCCCAGGAGGGAAAAGGTGCTGTCCCTCTACCTACCCCTCTTTGGAGGCTTGGTGGCTGCAATACTTCAGAGGCCACTGGACAGTCAGGAATGGGCCCTCAGTGACGAGACACAGGGGGCCTCACAGGATGTGTAAGGAGCCGGCCCTTTACTCCCTGTCCCAACAAGACCCCGAGTCACCATCCACGAATGGCCTCTCTGGCTCCTGATCAAGCTGCTTAATGGCCATGATCCCACAGACTTTCGAACAAATCTCGGAACTCAGCAGGTTTTGGCAGAAATCCCTCCAGATTTGTGTTAAAATTTCAGAATTTCAAAATCGCGCATCAACTACTGCAGCCACACAACATCATGTGTTATTAATAACCAGCAATAGAAAACAAACTGTCTACTGTTGTCTTTTTAGCAGATCTGAGTATCGGGGTAAAATCCCAAATAATAATGGTGGGTCTGGTGTCAAATATTTTATGTGATCAAAGTAGAGAGAATAATATGGAAATCATCTGCCCCACAGGTAGGGGGAGAGTGTGGGATGAGGTCTATACTGGAGTTTTTCTGATGGAGAATGGGCACTGGTGAAGGTACGGGTGTTTCACTGTATGACTGAACTTAAACCTGGAAGCTTTGTAACTGCTCTCACGGTGATTCAATAAATAAAATTATTAAAAATTAAAAAAAAGAAAGTTAGAGGGTTG